TTTTTTTTTTTCCTACAGTTACACATGATCGCCAACTTCTATTTAATAAGTATATATTTTATTTCTATTTGGATTAGCTTTATTTCTATCTCTATGTTTACTTCTATTACAATTTAACTTAATAAGAATGACGATTGATGAAAATTGAAATCTTTAATTATATTTTGATAAATGTGAAAAATTATTGATGTAAATTTTAAAATTATTGAGTAGAGGCAAAAATTAGTTTTTCAAAGCTATCGTCAGGTAAAATTACCTTATTAGATATATATATATCGTTCGAGTTTCTCGAAAACCGGAGCAAGGCGTAACGATCCTTTCCCCTTTTTTCTTCTTCACATTCTATTTTTCAAAACGCGAAGAATCGTGCTCGACGAAAGAGTCGTCAAAGCGAAAAAAAATTTGAATGTCAGCGTGATGAGTTAAAAATCGCTTCCAAGAGTCCAACATCATTGCCTTCCGTATAATTAAAATGCAATGACGTCGAAGATAAAATAGTGCCGTGTAAAATGAATTTTCAGAAAAGCTAGCCGTTCATGCAGTAGCACAATGCTTGAAAGGTAAATCGATCGATGAAGATAAAACTCGAGGTATTGTCTCTGACATTCTGGAGGAATGTTCGTGAGAAAAGCAATGCAACGTTGTGATAATAGCCTAAACTCGACGGAAACGATTAACTCGAGAGCCTGACGAACGAACTTGTTGTGTAACACTATGCATATCCTTATGTAATGCAGCTTAATAACGCGTCGAAATCACCCGGGAGAGTTCCGAACTATATGCAACAGATGTAGTTTCCAGTAACCTGAAGATTCCACTACGATTCAATCGATTGAATTATCTCTGCAAATGTTCGACGAGTGTTGAAATGGCAAATGATGTAAATTCCAAGAAGTGAAGATTTTCAGTAAAGGGGTTCAGATTTTCAGAAAACGAGAGAGTTAAAGTAAATTCTTGCAACGTTGAAATGAATTTAATATTTAGCATGGAATGATGTAAATTCCAAAAATGAAAGAGTTTCCTCTGTTCAAAAAAGAAAGAGTTAGAATAGCAAATAACTAAACTAAACAGAACTGAAATAAATTACTGTGCCAGATAAAAATGAAAATAAATCTAGCTGTTGAAAAAGGGCAATCTTTTTCTCTCCTAACCATTTTCAATTCCACAATTTTTATCGGCTCCTCCATCGTTTTTAAATGCTTTCTGCTAAAACGATAAAAAGTCAGCATTCTTTAAATACCTAATTGTCGAAATGTCGAACACGATGGGGATATACGTGATTTTAATCAAAATTATTATTTGTTGATATTATCATTAATAGAAAATTAATTATTGAAATAATTAGAAAATTGCATAAATACAGTCAGAGTAAGTAAAAGTAAACGACACAACAAACAAACAAACAAACAAACAAACATTGTTACATGGTTATACAATATTACTTAAAACGATATAAAGTATCATTTTTAGAATATAAAGTGAAAAACCCGACGAAAGAAAAATCTCACTGGATACGTATTGTAATATCGTATCAAGGAAGTCAATGATACTTGATCCTTGCGCAAACCAACTCTCGAGGTTAATATGTAATTTATTCGTGCGGAAAATGTGGCTGACATAATGGGCAAACTTTTTGCTTTTCAACGGCTGTTCCGCGTGTCGTATTCAACTTCGAGGCCCATTACGCGCAGTGGTACGATGAAGCAACATTGCAGAGATAGCGGTGAACCAAGCGAGCTACCAATTCTGAAAAACGTTTTGACCATGATCTTCCATGCTGTGCAAGCGGAATCGTTCCACCTACATTGAATTTAGAACATTGTAACCCGTGATTCGCCAAGTTATTACAACACGCACGCGACGTGTCGTAGTTTAGAGTAAATGAAATTTTATAGTCCTTGTTATTCGCCAATCGAACTCTTTTTTTCGCCCTTTCACCCTCGTACGCGCAACATTTGTATCTCTTTGAAAATTACCGCCTAGGCACATCTCTCTTGGTTGAAATTAATTTTCAGTTTCATCATTACATGTAAGATCATTCGAATACGTGGGTTTCCATTATAAATTAATTTTAACTGCGAGTCGTCGTGCATTTGTGAGAAACTTAGAAACGCTAAAAATTTGCAGATCCGTACGCAAATATGAAATATCTAAAGTGCTTGTTATTCAAATTAGACTCGGTTCGTTTCTACTTCTTCGTCTCTCCTTTATATCAAAATCCCTACGGATCAAAGATTCGAAAAGACGAAAATCAAACGAGAACAAGATCGAGAAGTAACAGTAATTACAATGAAATTAATGATGAACATTGTTATTCATCTTCATAATTACTCGGAAATTTCAATTACGGGATAATTACGACTTCAGACAAGAGATCTAGATAAGATTGACAACTGTTGTTACAGGTGAGATGGCGGTGATGTATCTTTACATGAGATACAGGTACCATTGGAACGAAGTTATGTTCAGCATGTTCACCACGTTCGCCATGGTGACGAATCTAATCGGTGAGTAAACGTTAGATAAATAATATCGGGATATAAATAAACTCTGGATATAAATATCTCTTCAAACATACGAAGAACAAATCGTCGTAATTCATGATGTGTCATCGATAATCTACCAATATATTATCGTGTATTTACGGCTGAAATTAAAGATCGTTACGTTCATTAGCAACGATTCTAAGAAAAGTAGGATTTCTTGCGTTTATTCGAATCGATAACATAACTGACATAAAGGACGACACTTGTGAAAATAAACTACTCTTCGAATTTCTTAGAAATTCTTCGCCTAAAATCACTGCAGGATTTTTATATAAAGCTTCCAGCCGGAAATGTATTAAAAATACGGCAGGAAGTTGAAAACGTGAAAAAAAAAAA